ATAAAAAATTGCTTGGACTACAACATCGATGTGGTATCCTCACTACACAAGAAAAGACCTCCGATTAATGGCTTTAGTACAATAACATAGGGAGCTGCGTGGTCTTAGGGCATGGTGTCCGCCTTGAGTGCTAGAGGTCACGGGTTCAAACCCCGGTGATAGCTGGAATTTTTTTCACTTGGATTTCTAGTAATTTCCCCTGGTCTCTTGGTAGTAAGGCCGGACGCCCGTGTGTATTGTTTGCTCGTAAAAAAATCCCTTTTCAGTTGGAATTCGAAAATAGTAGCCTAATGGCACTGCCCGCGCAAAATTTGGAGTTATAAATCTACCTAAAGTATTTCAGAATCCTCGCCGATGCAACAAAGTTCGTCCACTGCGATGAGATTCTTCGGACTCAGACTTGAGTTAGAAGAATAAAGAAAGCACTTATGGGTTACACCCGTGTGTTGATCCGTTGAATAAACATAAACAAGTGCAATAAAATGGAACACTATTTGCTGGAGTGTATAAAATATGAAATACAATTTAAAAAAAAAAATAATAATGAATTAAAAACTTTACTGACTTTAAAAATCTGTTAAATTTACCTATAACGATTGAAAACTTGTTGCACATAGACAGCCCCAGAGATCTGTGTTGCAAGAAATGTATTACTAGAACTAAAATCTATATACAGAAGTGTAAGAAATGCCCATGCCATCTTTGAAGAAGTTTCCCTTAAAGGTAAAATCATCTAGGAAAAACTACTATTATACTAAGGGCATGAAAAATCCACCATCCTAATGACACAATGTTAGTCAGATTAACTAAATATTCGTTGTTCAATTTCTATCCTAACCACATTTGAAATCAAAACAACATTTGATACAACACACATTTATCATTGGCCTTAAATAATTACACAATAATTGAGAAAAGAAACCACCCTAACCATCCGAGATCGAGTGAATAGTGAAACTATCAGGCAAATTGTGGGAACGACACATTGTACTAGATTCATCGAGAAACAGCAGATCAAGCGGTTTGGCCATTTCGTTAGAATGCAGCAAAATCATATACCATCACAAGCACTACGTCTCAGAAGATCAGCAATAAGAGCAAGAGGACGGCCACGGAAACATGAATCGACAACATTAAAGACACTTTAGCCTTCATGGCATAACAATAGCCAATGGCAGCCAACGTGCACTGGATCGAAAATTATTCCTCCCGACGGGCTTAACGGCAGAAGTGGTTAATGATGATGATGATGATGGAATGACATAATATAACAAAAATATACTATTAGAACTCGATAAACACTATATATCTTAGTTATAACTGACTGTTGAAAAAGGTATTTTTGTGAAAATAACGACCACTACTACAGTAGAGGAATAGACTCTGGCGTTGGACAGGATATGCGTTGAGAAAATAGAACAACATGTGTAGAAGGGCTATGAACTGGAATCCACAAGAACATAAAAATAAAGGTAGTAAAAATGTAAAAAACAAAACGGAAAAGGGAAATAGTGAAATTTAAAACGTTGCGACTGGGCTCGGCTGCATAACGATAGCAATGGTGTGACAGTGTGAGTTGGTTGAGAGCTGGGTCGGATTAACATTAAGCACACCAAGTAAGTGATTAGGGCATCACAAAGGAAAAAGGGACCACAGAAATTGTCAATAACCTTGGAACTGAGCGCTTATTTTATCAGCTAAAGTATATTTTAAAATCCTATCAGAAGATTAATACAAGGTAGACTGGGTGCCTGATCTATAATAATTTAGTAGAAGCACACTGTTACATAAGATTAGATTTTAGGATATTTTCAAATACTCTGCAATTAAGCGACGGTAGAAATAAACTTTTTAAATATAAAGAAAGTGGAAATTAAACAAATATAGGCCTACACATTTTGCCCATATCATTGAAAGTTTTATGTAATTTAAACTAGAACCATCTTAACACATGAGTCAACTCGGCAATTTCACGGTGGCCCCACCAGCACTGAGGTCTCATGCTAATCTGTATATGTCAGGTGACCATATACGTGTTACTCTTGTGAATCGTTGTTATAGGGACCTCAACACACTGGTTAAACAAGGGCCCGTAATGCTGTTAAGGCGGCTCTAAAAGAGTTGGGGTCCACATTTTTTAAACCAAAAGTCGCCCCTGTCGTGGCGCAAGAGCCTACCTACACCCGCCCACTCAGACAGCAGCAGCGACCGGGAACATACAGCACAGAGTTTCCTCAATGCTCACGCTGTAACAAGGCGTGGCACACAGCCGCTACCTGCCGGAGCAGCCCAATTTGTCGTTACTGCGCCGGGCCGCACAACTTCAAGGAGTGCAGCCTAGCAAAGAAGGACTCGGACTTCAAAAAGCCCAACCCCAACAGAAAGTGCTCAAACTGCGCAGGGAACCATAGCACGAGGTACCAGGGATGCCCATACATCAAAGACTGCAAGAGATCACTGACAACCACCGCCACCAAACGCAACGCCTGCACAGAAAGAAGCCAGAGCTACCAGGCTCCCAGGCCGAGAGATCACACAGAAGCAAACAAAGTCCAGGCCGAGATATCTGTCTTAAAAAGAGAGATCGATGCCCTACGGGAGGAAAACGGCGCCATTAAAAAGAAACAAGACCATGCAAGAGACGAAAACATCGAAATAAGGAGACTGCTGCAAGAATCCCTCGAAACACAGAAACGGCAGGAGAGCGAACTAGCCGACTCATGGAAGTTCAAGTGTGACCTCTTAGCAGTCCTGAACGAACTCAAGAAACAAAAGGAGGAGAGCACAGAAACCAGCCTGGCTGAAATCACGAATATTAAAAAATCACTCGCTGCAGTTGAAGCAAAGCTAATCCAAGTCAACAAAGAAAACACGCAGCTGCAAAAGGACCTGGCAGCCACAAACGCAGTAATCGAAGCAAGAGAGAAGGCGAGGAAAGAAGCGGTCAGGCGAAAACAAATGCAAGAATCAAAAACGCTGGAAGAAGAACAGAGCGCACGGGGTGAACAAGATCAGTCTAAATCAGATGAAAATAAAGAAGCACAGGCCGCAGAAACACCACGTACCACGGACCAAAGCAGCACCACAGACGCAATCCCGACCGCAGAGGAAACCACAGCATGTGTAGAAGACGAGGCGATCCCGGCTATAGAGGCGACCCCAACACGCCCAGAAGCGGAACAGATAGAAATCGCCGAGGACATTAGCGAGGCGGGCCTTCAAAAACTGGTACTGGCCTTCAATAAACAGATTATCCCGCACATAATCGAAGTCAACAAAGGCAGATACGTCATCAACCTCCAAAAGGCAGAGTGGGAAAGACAACACCTACTGCCCGAAAAAGAGTTCGCCGCCCTCCACACCAAAATAAATGGATTCTGGGAACAGGTGGACAAAGCCTATACAAGAATAAAAGCTACCAAATCGATGCGACCAACACCGAACAGACGCCGCCAGTTCTAGCAGCCAATCGAAACCGCCAAGCCGCCATGACACACAGTTCCCGTGGAACAAGCCAGCCTCACTGACCACTCCCACCCATCCCGTCGCAGGCCACCCAGGCACATATGGCTGTCCTTCTCAGGACTGCCATGTCCAATCCCAAAACCTGCAAGCCGCCCGCCAAGCCCACGCTGCTGACATAACCCATCAAAAGAAATGAAACTCAGGCGAAAATGATCGCCACAAGAAAGAAATTCAAATCAAACCACAGCTGCAACTGACTACGATATAGCAAGCCGTCAGGTAGCTGAAAGAAGTCTAAAGTTTGGAATTTTTGTTCTTTATGAATCCAATCTATTTTTTAAAGTTCTTCGGGCATCAAACGGTTTTAATCCGTTCCTGGTTGAGGGTTTATGCTCCATTGGGGGATAAAGAGAAGAAGAAGAAGAAGAAGAAGAAGAAGAAGAAGAAGAAGAAGAAGAAGAAGAAGAAGAAGAAGAAGAAGAAGAGGAAGAAGAAGAAGAAGAAGAAGAAGAAGAGTTTGTTATTGCTTACTCAATGGTCTGCTATCAAAAGCATTGTCAATGCCAAACACAAAGCGATCCGCTGCCAAATCACCTGCAGCTAAGATCGAATCCGACACCTGGGAATTACGAATATATAATAAACAAACCAACAATGTCCATCGTTTATTTATTATTCAGAATAGCAACGCGCATTCACAAGAGATAAACTTGCTTGAAAAGTTGAGGTTGAGACAAATAAATAAAAAGGCAGAATGACCCTATGCCATAAGTGAGACAAGCGAACAGAACTTTCCGGAACTTGTGATAATGCGAGGCATTAAAGGGAGGGGGCTGATTGTCCACACTGACTGATAAGGAACATGATTATGTCAATCCAGCTTTCTATTTGTTAAAGTTTAGAATTGAGAAGTTGAGTCAAAGAATTGACATCACAGCATTTGGGGCATTCCCATGTGTACTCCGTCCTCATCTCCAGCAGCCAGTGCAGATTTCAAATACTGATGGTACTGGTCACAGTCTGGTTATGTGTCCGTCTTCCTTTCCTCTGAGTGTAGTGAGCCGGTCAGACTCACTGGTTACACACAGGTGCCTTATTCTCTCCACGCCATAATAATCGTGTTTCTCTACTGATTCCGTTGCTTGTTCCCAAAGGGCCTTGTCGTGTATCAATTCACCAGCCAAGGGTGAAAAAATCCAGCCAATATGTCTGTCTGTTAATACCCACTACGCCGGCATTGCCGGAAGAAAAGATCCAAAGTATACTCATTATCCGGGACCTTCCCAGTAAAGCTTGCCATTCTGCTCGAAGCAACCCAGTCTTCACCTTTCTCAGTAAGCTTTCACAGTGTTACAATTACGACATGTGTTTGTATCTTGTTCTCTAGCCACCGGAGAGCTGCCGTAATGGCTTCCACCTGAAGTTTAGAAAAGTCTGACTTCCCATTTGTTTTCGGCGTCCTAGCAACAGATCTTTCTGCAGATCCTTTTCAAGTAAAATATATTGTCCTGCAAAATTATTATAATACAGCGAAAATGCTGAAGGGAAAGTCACCAGGTTTGAAAGAGCATTCTGTGTTGGCTGTATCTTCTTGTCTTCTCACTGTATTAATAATACTATTATACTCTATTATATTATTCTTGATATATTATTTTAGTAATAAATAAATAGTTAAAATATAAATAAATATAAATAAAAATAAAACAATAAGTTTTGGCACTTCCGCATCACTCAGAAGAGCATGGGAGAGATTCTTATTTTATTATTTTGTATACTTTTTCTTCTTTTCTATACTCCTGGAATGCCTTGCGACGTCAGGACAGGAAGAGATCTCTAGAATGGGGCCTTCTATTCGATTCGTTTATAGTACTTTTTAGTGTCTCTGATATTTCTGCTGTCCATTTCTGCGTGGTCAACCTCTTGGGACCTCGACGACGATCCTAATATCATCATCCCTAAATCAATCTTTGCTCATGACACCTAGTATAGTATGTAAATATTTCGTTTTTGTCGTGACTATTTTCCTTCCATCTTCTGAAGACAGTGTCCATGTTTGACATTGATAGCAGGGTGTTGGTAAGAATATTGTGTTAAACAGTGTTCTTTTAGTGTTCATATTCACATGCTTCCATTTCAAAATGGGTATACTGTATATAGATTATAAACGAACTGAGTTGGACTGCTGTAAACAAATATATTCATATGTAAAAGTTAAGGAGGGCTTGTCGCAGGAAAGCTGTCTCAAACTTTGTGGTTTTTAAAGTGGGCTATCTTCCGAATAACGGTCCCAAATTATCGAGGCAGAAAAGATTCGCTAACAGGACGTCAGTCACGTGTCAATTGTGCACTTCCGGCGACTTCAATTGCGCACTTCCAGCGACTTCCACCACCACCGAGAGTATTCCCCCACGCCGCTCGTGCGGCGTGGATACGAGCGGCGTGGATTGGTGCTAAACTAAATGGCTGGGACTCATGAGCAGCAGCTACCGCATTTCCTGCAGCTGCCTTCATTTTATTTGATCGTGAGTCCAAGCCATCTAGTTTAGTCTCAATCCACGCCGCTCATGCGGCGTGGGGAATACTCTCGGTGGTGTCGGTATAGTCCCTGGAAGTACGCAATTCGGTGGTGGTGGTATAGTCCCCGGAAGTACGCAATTCGGTGGTGGTGGTATAGTCCCCGGAAGTACGCAATTCGGCGGTGGCGGTATAGTCCCCGGAAGTGCGCAATTGACACGTGACTGAGGCCCTGTTAGGGTTTATTTTCTGCCTCGATAATTTGGGACCGTTATTCGGAAGATAGCCTTGAAGTGTTTCCTTTACATTTGATTTTATAACATAACATTTTTATTGTTCTTGTTTCAATTTTTGTAAAGTTTTTATTTTTTTAAATCTTAGTGCATCACAACACCATTAGAGAGTTTCTGTTTCTTACAGCTGTTGTGAAATATTTCTAGGACTGTATTCATTGTCTCTAACCTGATCCAATATATTGGTGATTATATGAGATGGTGAAACATGACATCCTACTCATAGCGGTATGACACATGATGATACTGACACATTGTCTGACAAAACTTTCTGCAATAATACTTTCAGATGTGATCTCCTTCTATGAGCCACTGTAGTGTATTGGCCTGAGGGTCTTGGGTTCGAAACTACATCTTGGTAATTTTGGGGTTTTTTAAATTGACTTTGGCTGTAAGATTGACTTAGCCTAAAATGGGTACCCAAATAATGTTCTTGGAAGTAACAGTTGCTGGCATGATGTTGACCCTTCACCCACTTAATTTCAGTTGGTCTATAAAATTTGAGTCTAGAGTCATATGTCCAATGCACCAGTTGCATAAAAATGAATCTTTATACTTTACTTATGTACCTAAATACATCTAAACATGTGGCAATAGAATTCTTGTTACCTCTTTAATATCCTCCTGAACCTGTCTGGGTTATGTGGGTATATAATAGCTATTATTATTCAACTCTTTCAGTATCAGAAAAAAAGTTTTTTTTCTAGGAGATACTAGTAAAGAAATATCAGTGATTATAATGCATCAGTGCATTACTTTCAAAACAGTAATATAACAGTTGTAGTGACTATTGGATGTCAGATTTCTTGAATATGTTCCGACCAAATGCAAAACGTAAGAGAACATATTAGCTAGGGATGGGATTCACAAGATAAGAGTGATTCACTCAAAATACTCTTTTGATACTCAAAGAGTGATACTTCGTGAAAATTGATTTTTACTTGTTTATTCATGTCATGTCTTTTAGGTAATGATGATATTAATACTGTGCTTCCTGCTTCATTTTTAGGGTTGTGAGATGTTAAACTTTTCCTGGATAATTTTGTGTAGGTCATTATCATGTGGGCAACATTTATTTCCCAGGACTTTGGAAGCCTAGGTCAAAATAAAAAATTTACTTTGAAGGGTATGAAGCTATGACCATGGGCCAGCAGACATGTATGCTAGTCACTGATCTAAAACAAATCTTTTGAAATGGAAATTACCATTTCACGCCATTGACACACTGGACAACTGGTGCTAGACTCATGGTGGTCAGCACCATACAATCTGCTTTTACTTTCAAGGTACCCATTTTAGGCTAAGTGTTGGAAAATGACTGAGGATACTGCACACAAGTTGAAGACTTTTCATAATAAACTGCTAAGGAGGATGATGCAAATATTTTGGACAAACAAGATCACAATTAAAAAACTTAGGAGGAAAACACAATGTTCTCATTAGTGACAAACATTACCAAAAGAAGATGGAAATGATTTGGATATGTTCACAGAATGTGTTACTTTGGCAAGGACAGCTTATCAGTGGATAACAGACTGACAAATGAGACCTGGATGACCAAAGGAAACCTGGATAGTAGAAAGGGGGAAAAAAGGAGTGTAAACTGACAATGGAATCCCATAGGCAGAAAAGCAGCAGACCAGCAGCAATGGAGATCTACTTTTAATGCCTAATGAGTCAACAATTACATGTCCAGGCTAGAGATTTTAAGCTGGGTTGATACGCGAGCCACGTTCATTAAAAATGATTTTATCTAAAAAATATACACACAAATGCAAGGTAGTTGAGGTGGCGTTGGCGGCTAGACGCCCGCCTCCGGATCGGAAGGTCGTGGGTTCGTGTCCTGATGGAGTCTGACTTTTTTAAAAAAATGACCTTGACTCCCAGGTCAACCCAGCCTTGAATGGCTACCAGGTGCAGTCCTAGGAAGTAAAGATAGTCGGCTTGAATCTGACCACATCACCCACCAAGTGCCGATTGGTCTATAAAAATATAAGTCTAGCCTTATATTCCCACTACACCCAGAGGCGTGAAAAAGGGACCCATTCTTTACTTTTACTTACACAAAAATGCAGCACAGAGTGTTTATTCTAGTTTTGAAAATTCAAACAGTAAACACTTACAACCTGCTGGCTCTGGAGAACTCACAGGAAGGTTTAACGGAAGAACGAATATGCCTGGCTTTCCAAGCCTATGATGAGCTTGTACCCAAACTTGGAGTGTTCACACCTATCTTCCAGAAGCTGAGGATTGATTTGTTTGGTATGATTTATCTTGATATTTCATTTTCATTTGTTCCTTGATGTACTGATAATAGAGTGTCTTAATCTGTTGTCAAGAATAGATCTCTGCTGAATCATATGGTCAGCTGGCCAAGCAGATTGTTCTCCATTGGGTCTCAGATCACTGAAAAATTACAAGAAATGAAATGGCAGACTGCTTAGTAAAAATAGGGAGCAAGACAGAGCAGCCAAAAGCAGGATGCACTTATGAGGAAAATAAAACTCAAGTCAGCCTTCTCACGTGAAAGCAAAATACCATATTATTTAAATTGTAAACTGGACACAACAGACTGCAGCCATCTGCACAGAAATTCAAGAATGGGGACTCAGAACTATTCCTATGGGAACAGGCATCCCAGAATGCCGAACATGTGCTACAGACATGCTATCTACATGTAGTTGAGAGACCCAGGTTTGGTTGTTTAGCATTCCAGTGGAAATGATGCTATCTAGATTGGTGAAGGGCATGTTTGCATGGCAGCCCTCATAGAGGCATGTGACCTTCTCTCTGGAAAGCACTGACAGGGAGAATGAAAAAGTAGATGTATTGTTGTTTAACTAATGTTTAATCAAGACATAGTAATGGACTCCAATGATGTTTTTGGATCCAGTAATTTGCTATGTATTTGTCCCCTGTGAATGTAGTATACATATGCTTTTTTTTTAAATCCTTTTTGCATCAACTAGGCATCATTTGTTGTCTTCTAGATGCTGTTATCCTCTTGACTGAAAGGATTAATAATAACAATTTGTTGGGTATGTTTTGAGGAGAAATAAACTTTAAAACTTAATGATAGCTGATGGATTTGATAGGAAAGGAGCAAGAAAAAGACAGTGATAAACACCTGGATGGCTTGGCTACATGGTATAGTCAACAGAGAAAGATTTTGAGATTGGGAACAATGACCATCTTGTTTATCAGTACAGTACATTATGGTGATCTTGTTTAAAATTTTAAAAAATGCCCTAACTATAGATGGCAATCCAGACACATTGTAAGCAATTGCTAAAACTCTGTGACTAATCTTAGGTAAGTTTTTAATAGAACTAGTCATTCTCAAATGCTAACAATCAAGATTTGCAAAGAAGGAAGGACAAGAAAAAGATAACGGAAACCCTGATAGTCAAAGGTGGCAGAAAAATTTATGACAAAAACTAAAAGCAGAATAAATGTATACAGTAACAACAACAGAAAATACAACCAAAGTATAACCAAGGCTGGGATACAGGTTGTATTATGTCACCAGTTTTTTTTTTTTTTAAACATTGAAAGCATGTACACATGTGAGAACGCTCTCAGATTTGTTGCATGTTTTTTTTAAACACATTTTAGCATATTTTATTTTAAGTGTGGTTAACCTTGTTGCTTGTTAAATAATGGCTCTCTATAAAATGTTGTAACATTTGTTTCCAATTTGTGCAAAAAAAACTTTGAACAAATTAGCTCTCAAATGAGCAGCAAAAACATTTATGCAATGGAAAGGAAACAAAGGGACAAACAGAGGTTTTTAAAACTCTTTAAACAATGTTTTCTATTGTGAATTTGAAAAATAAATGAGGACTAAAAACATTTTAGCACACAATTAAATGTCAGACACATTTTGTTGCATCTCCTCAAGTGCATATTGCAGAATTTGTATAAATATGAAATTAAGCTTTAATGATTCAAGCCAACAACCCCCTCCTTTGTAAGCAGAAGGAATTTATAGTAAATCTGAAGTTGCCCTGGTGTCATTGACAAGGACAATGCTTTCAGCTGAAACTAGCCAAAGCTTCAGTGATTAAAATATAGTTAAGCACAAAAATGAGTCCCCTTTGGCTGAAATTCATCACTCACATATTATTCATCTCACTTCATCATTACGGTCTAAGAAGAATGGTGCTGTGAGGAGTTACCAGGGGATGTGGCCGATGCTCAACCAACACTCAGGGGAAGGATGAGATGGATATACAGTCAGATGAATACTGGTGCTTTCGGAATTGAAACTCTTTGCTTGCTGCTGAAGATGGGGGATGGAGCACTTATGGGAGGCCCCGAGTGCTGTGATGTCAGTTCTTAATTCAACATTTAACATTCTACATTCTCACTTCAGAAGTCTTTGATTTATCCTCGTCTACCTAATGCAGGAACATCAATCCTTATTCTGAACACATTAGCATATATTTTAAAAAAGACTCAAATTGTCTGTGTGATAGATAATCTGAAAGACTTAATACCTCTCAGTCATATCCTCAGTTTCTTTATAATTTTTGTTCTTATATACATTTGTCTGTAATAAACATTTCCATTCCAGAATTTGTACATATTTTATTGGATTTTTTTTTTTTCCCCTTTAAATGAAAACATTTTATTAGAACCATGGAGAAATTATATTTTTCAGTCTAAAACAGTGTTTTTCAACCTTCCTAATGCTGCAGTCTTTGATAAAGTTCCTAATGTTATGGTTACCCCCAACCACAAAATTTATTTAGTGGTTCATCTCACGTTTTCAGGACCAGAAAGAGAGTTATGTCGCATGGCTTGTGCTATGTTGTGGGTGGTGTCACGCTTAGTGACCGGCCAACAACACATAGCGTTTTACTAGAACTTTTTGACGGCCGGCGATATCACATGTTCTATATTACAGGATGTGAGTGCTTTTAACAGTCCTGAAACATGCAGGATTGGCTCTAACCCCAACCCGCTTCGTCACACAAGAGAGTGCAGCCTACATCCCAAGACTCTATGTAGCCTAGGTATGCAGCATAGCATGACACACCCACAGCATAGGACAAGCTGTGCGACACAGCGATTTATGAATGGGAAGGGAAGTCACTTACTTTCAGGGCCCAAAAACATGAGTTACAATGTTCTAGTTGCTACTTCCTAACTTCAGTGAATATGTGTTTTCTTCGGATGGGATGAAATAGTCATTTGACCCCCAAAGGGGTCGTGACCCAGAGGTTGAGAACCGCTGGTCTAAAGCTTCATATTCCACAAATGTACATTTGCTGTAAACTGAATTAGTATAATCATGATTCCTTTTGAGATGAATGAGCAGGAAAAGACATGATTACAATTGTTGTTGATATTGATTTACAGAGGCTGTTTATAGTGATTATCTCACTGGAACATCAGAAAAACGTGCTGATGGAGACACTGAATACATACAGAGACTGCCATACTTTTCTTTAGTTCAGCAATTGTTCAGGCAGAAACATGATTACAATGAGGAATTGAAAGAACAACTGGATAGTGTTAAAGAAAGGTAAATATTTTGTGTTGGCAGGGGAAAATTACAAAAATCAACTTGTGTCCTATAAAATATTCTGTACGTTTTCAATTGTATTACTCTTCATGATTTGCCCAAAAATCTTGGCTTCTGCATGAAACAACTCTAATTCAGTTTATGGATTATGAAGAGCACAGCAAGATGTACACAGTGAATATATTTAGTGCATGCAATGTGGAGAAATAAACTACCCTGACAATCTGTTTCAATGAAAAAAATAAAGTGGTCTGCATGATCTCGAGGCATGATGTCCGCCGCAAGTGCTAGAGGTTCCGGGTTCAATCCCCGGTAAGGGCTGGGATTTTTTCACGTGGACTTGGACTTCTAGTAATTCCCCCTGGTTTTTGGGTAGTGAGATTTGACGCCCATGTGCATTGCTGTGCACATTAAAAAAATCCCTTGGCAGTTAGAAATTGAAAAGAGTAGCCCAACGGTGCTGCCCAGTCAAAAATGTGGAGTTAAAAATCTGCCCAAAGCATTTCAAGATCCTCACCGGTGCTACAGAGCCTGTGCACTGTGCTGAGCTTCTTTGGACTCAGACTTGAGTAAGAAGAAGAATGGAGCACTTATAGGTTACTACCCATGTGCCATGATGTTGATTTGTTGTTCAAACCTCAAACCTTAAATGAAAAAATAACAGCCAAAGGAAGAAAAATAAATAAGCACCTGAAAGGCTTTTCCACAGACCTAATCACATGGTCATGTGAGATGGTGAGCGATTTTTTCCTTATTGATAGGGTACATGTTGGTGACATATAAATCATACCAACGTTTCATTATCTATGTGATCTGAAATTTTAGTTGGAAGTAAAAAGTAAAGAAACCTATGGTGTTCTTCTTTTTCAGGCTGTTAGAGGAACACAGACTATTAGAAGAAGCCCAAGAAACAGTCACTGCTAAAGAAAGTCTCATCAGTTCTCTTAGTACCACAGCTGTGGAACTGGAATCAGTTATTGGAGACAAAGACAAGCAAATCAATGAGTAACAAGCATTATAGACAGATTAGTCCAACTTCTGTACAGGGCTCTTTTATTAATGATACCATAGCATCAAAATAAAAAAAAATGCAGAAACAGGAAGGTGGGGCAGAGGCCGACCAACATGATGATGGCACTGAATATAAATGACTCCTTGAATATGAAAGTACATGAGGCGGAAGATCTGGCGAGAGACTGAATTTCTTGCAGGCAGACCGTGATGAGAGCGATGTTCTGCAAAGAACCTGCTAAGTTGTGATGATAGCATCAGACACTAATAAATTGCAACACTAAGCACTTCATGAATAGCTGACCTAACTTTCATCTTTGTGTCATGTCTTGTGGGTGTTTTCGAGACAGCAAGTGTGCCGATCATCTTGCAGACACTACAGTTGCTATGGCTGGTCTTGTTCTGGACAAATGCGATGTTATCACTGCTATGCACAGCACCGACCACGAAGACAAAGATGTCAAATGACTTGACTCTGTATCCCTGTCAAGGCTGACGAACTTGGGGTGCAACCTGAAGCTGCTAGAAATGAACGAGACGACAAGAGGATTTATTAATTAACACAGAACAGGCATCATCAGTCATTTTACACTTGTGGAGCTTTTGAGGAAGAGATCAGAGCACCTTCAGATCTGTCAAGAGTGCTGTGATGATGATGCTTACTAATCACTAATAGCAAATGCTTTAAGGGGGAAATGAAGTTTTAGTCATTCACATATAATAACTGTTGGCAAAATAAAATAAGGTGGCCTGTTTACCTTTCTCACCAGGTCTCTTTCTCTGATAGTTTCTAAAATCAACATTTACAGACTTGGTTGACTACACAGTTTTGGTGGGTGAAAAGAAATACAGTTTTGTCATGGCTGGGAATTTAACTTCACACTTATGTGTTTATATGCTAGATAGTACACTGTTATAGCTCTTTATTTTTATAGAATAATTTAATTTCCATTTCACTTTCATGTAGTCATAGTCCCCGTGTCAGTTCTGGGGCCCCATCTGTGGAAAATAAAGAGTAGACCAACTACCCCCCCCCCCCCCCCCCCCCCCTCCCCCCCCCCCCCCCCCTCCCCACAACAAGCATGTTGTAAAAGTTGGCTTATTAGATTGAGGTGTTTCTTTCAAAGTTAGAGTGTATTTGCCTGAAATTCGAGAAACCGACAATCTGCTTAAAATAAGCCAGGTCTTTGTAAAATGAAAGTGCCTGCAAAACTGAAGTTCTAGAATAATACCAAAGTTCAGAAGTAGAAAGCAGACAAACAATCCAAACCTTCATCTAGAATTTACTGCCATACAGAGTGAACCCTAAGAAGATGATGTAGTCAGAAATTATCAACTAAAAATTCAGAACCCCTAAGTCAAAGTGCACTGAATCTACAGAGTTAAAGAAATCAAGGAAGGCCAAATACGACATGGAAAGAAGAATTACATAAGTGAACAAAGATGAGGATATGAGATGAGCTGTACATGAGAGCAATGAATAGGATGCCTATTATGAGCTAGCTGAAGGCTTACACTCCGTTGCTCGAAGAGTAAAAAAAGAAGACAGAGTGAACCACAATTATTTTATTTCTATTCTTATCACTTGTAAGTGTCTAATGATGATTTGAGTTATAAGCTGAAGTTTTATTAATTTCATATTTTTTTGTATTCAATACTGCCAATATATTTTACTCAAATATGTTCATTCCTGTCACAAGATGGTTGTTTATTGTTAAATTCCAAGTGATAATTTTCATACATATCTAACTAGGCTGAAGAATGAGTTTGAGAAAGCAAGAGAAATGTTCAAAAGCAGTCAAGTTCAATGGGAATCTAACATAGCTGAGCTTCAAGTAAGCATGCTTTGTAAATTATTTTCTTATTTACAAAAAAAAAAAAAAAAAACCTTCCTCTTCTCTCCCCAGTTTCCAGCTCTCACTCTCTCCTTATTATATTTTTAAAGTATATACTTCTGTAGAATACTGATAAGTGTGTTAATATATGTAACGGAAACTGCATGATGTTTAGTTTTATTTTTCAAGTTTCAGCCACACCATTTATCCATATCTTTCTTGGTCTTCCCCTGCTGTAAAAAGACTCATATGCAGTTTAGTCTGGGTTTTTTTTCTTTGTCATTACAATCCAGACAGAGTCTTATTCCAACTGTCTCTCTAATGCTGGTATTTGTAACCCTGACCCTTCTTGTGTTATTAGGGTACAATCTTATGAAAGACTGAAATCAGCTCCTCATCAAAATTTCCCCCAGTGCTTGAAAATTATAAACTTTTGAATGTGTGGCCTCGCTGAATACAAATGTGGGCCCTCACTGAGATATAACATTTACTGCTCTGTTTGTATGATGTCTTGTTTGTTTTTAGCCATCACTATGACCACAAAATTATATTTGTTTCAGGAATCCCTTTTAGAAGCTAGGAATGAGAATAATTTTTTGTCAGGATTCAAGAAAGGATATGATGCAGTCTACAATGGTAAGGCATTGATATTTGTGTCTGAAATATGTGTAATTATTTATGTAAATCTGTTGTTTAACTCTTTCAGTCCTATGGGTTTTAGCATCAGAGGCCCAAGGGGTAGTAAACAGAGATTTAAAATCAGCATATCTTGCATTCATTGGGCTTCTAGGTAGATACTTTTGAATGTATGAGGCTGAAAGAGTTAAGGAGTAAGGACATGATTTTAAAAGGTAAATTATACGCTGTGTTTGAAGCGACATATGTATGTGTGTGTGTGTGTACACTTGTATACGTATTTATGTGTGTAAAATAAATGGAGAGCATCAAGAAGCAGATACAATTGTTAAAGTGGTTAGATAAATTAGATGAAGAGAGTTAAGATTGTATGGGCATGTTACAAAGACAAATCAAATTGAAAAACCTTATGACAACAGGTAAACTTGATCTAAATAAACAAATGAAGCAACATCAGATTGGTCTCATGTCAACTCAAACTGAAATGGGTACCAGGATATATCCTGGGCAGTAGAGCTGGCCAAAATTTTGTTGACCACATTACCTGTTCGATGCCATTTGATCTAGAAAAATATGATCATTGGCACCTGATGTGGCACTGGTGCAAAACAAAACCAAAAAAAAAAACACACACAAAAACCCCCCCAAAAAGAGGGTTGTTAAAAAAGTGAAAATGAAACTATAGTTAACCAAGATGGCATGACCACTTGGCAAAACTGAGACAAGGACACAGATCTGATCTGAGATGCTAGTGATCTTGTGAAATGGTCAACCTTGAGCACTCACACTTAATGGCAAGAACATCATGATGATAATGAGGTATGTGTGCATTATCATTCATGTTTGTTAGTGTATATTTTATTAAGAATTTCTTGTTTTAATATATGTTTTGTTAAGAATTTCTTATTGCTGTCCATGATATGCAGTATTCATATGCATTTCTGTCCACAGCCTTCTCTTTTATCAACCGTCATTCATTTCTGATACAGATGTTCTTTCTTGCCAGGATGCCAGACTGTCTCTCTTGGTCTTTGTCTATCCTTTTAAATTTTCCAATTTTAATACATAGTTAGAAAACTTAGAAAGTTTTGAGAACAAATGTCTTAGAAGAATTATAAATCTCTACTCGATAAATTTTAGACCCAATACGCAGATAGGAAAAGAGAAGCAAGCAAGATAATGTGAAACATTTTAAAATGTCACTGTTCATGACTCTTGTAATGGCTATTATAAAAACTCTTTTAAATGAAAATTTTGACTTCTGTTTTTGCAGCATTTCTGGACAAATCTGATGTATTCGAATGTGAACCAGAGAAAAATGAACAACCAATAATATGTGCACAAAATGTGAGCTTGATTGTTGTCATATTTTTGTCAGTCATTTATACAAGGGGGAGTCAATAAGTAAGTCACAAATGGTTTTGGGATGGCAGGAAAATGTAGTTGGTGGTTTCTAAAGGTGTCACTAGGTGAGAGCAACATCAAGCTTTATGTCTCCATTCCTTAGGTGGAGCTAGGTGTTGCATGCGTCATTGCAACAAAAACAAAATGGTGACTATACTTACGCAGTGTGCCCTTAAAGAACAATATGCTGTTGTGCATTTGGCTGGGGGTGGGGGTGAGGGGGGGGGGGGGGTGGAGTCAAAAGGGCTGCCTGCAAAGGACATTCATAATAAATGCTTCCTGTTTATGCTGACAAATGTTTAACCTGTAAAGCGGTGCATAGCTGGGTAAAACAAATTTTCTCAACGACGCTCTAATATTGTTAATGAAGTTTGATCTGGTCATCCTTTTGAGATTACATCCGTGCAGCAGGTAGGAGATGATTAGAGGTGACAGGTGAGTAACGGTTGACTCTGTAGCAGCTGCATTATGGTGCTCGCATGATTCAGCATACAACGTAATGCATGATCGATTGACATTTAAGAAAGTGTGCTCAAGGGGAGTATCCAGATAATTGACAGACAAACACAAAATGAACCTATTAGGTCCGTCCTTGTAGCATCTCTGTCATTATGCAGATGAAGGAGAAGACATGCTGAATGCGATTCTTACTAGAGATAAATCTTTAATACATCACTACCAGCCTGAATCAAAGCGTGCTTCAATGCAGTGGAAACATCCTTCTTCGCCTTGTGTTCAAAAATTCAAGGGTACGCCATCAGCAGGAAAGGTTATGCTGACAATTTTCTGTGATTGCCAAGGAGTATTTTTAATCAATTTAAATAAAGAGGTGACGGTGTGAATGCTGATTCACACTGTACATTTCTATCAATGCTTCATGAAACAATTCAAAGAAAATATCTAAGCCTGCTGACTAGAGGAATACTACTTCATCATGACAAGGCCAGGCCACATACAACTCAGTTAACTCAGGAGAAAATTACCCATCTAGGGTGGAAACTTCTGGAAACTCCACCTTACAGCCCCAACTTAGCCCCTAACGATTTCCACCTTTTTAAATCCACTGAAAACCCACTGTAGCGGGAGACATTTCAGGAATGACGCAGAAGTTGAATGTGAAGTAAAAATGTGGTTTAGAAAACAAAGCAAACAGTTCTATGCAGCAGGTTTGGGAGGACTCATAAAACGATGGGACAAGTGCATCAGTATTGGTGGAAATTAGGTTGAAAATATGTGTAAAAGTTAATGTTTTCAAAGTTATCGCCCTAAGTTTCTTTTAAAACAACCGTTTGCAGCTTACTTATTAACTTCCCCTCGTATAAAATAATAACATAATTAATTAAACAAATGACCCACCAAATAAAGGGTTCATATGGTGTTTTGTATGTATACAATGATGTATTTCAATCTAAAGAAAACAAAAATAAAATAAACTTGTGGTCTTATGTTCAAATACTCCTCCTCCCCACCCCACGACCAGGGTGAATCTCCTTGAGGCAGGGACTTTTAAAAAAAAAACATTTTCTGGGCTTCTGTGTCAGCCCAGTCTAAAGTGGATGCCAGATAGTGTCAGAAGTAACGAAAACATTATGTTATCACTCACTGAGTGCCAGTTTGTAATTACAAATTTGCGATAGTGCTAAATTTGTTCAATAGACCTGTGTCCTTTGTAGTGTTACTCATGTTTGTTTGTTTGTGTGTGTGTGTGGGTGTGTGTGTGTGTGCTTGTACCTCCATGTGTGCATGATTGTGCCACTGGTGTAGACATGTCTTTTATATAGAGATGGACAGAAAGACAGACAGGCAGGCAGGCAGATAGACGGAAGAACGGACAGACAGACAGGATGGATAGATGGATGAATGGATGGACAGATAGAGTTGGGGGGGGGGGGAACCCCTGCTTTATTGACCTTACCCAAACAGGACTGCAGGTTACACTTGAGGGTGTAGCCATTATGAAAGCCCCAGTTATAACTTCTTTGGTGGTTGAACAGGATATTTTGGGATTTGCCCTGTTGGTCTGCCATCCCACATTGAGATTTGTAATCTGTTTTCAGCCTTCGAGCATCAGCTCGTAAGGGAAAAAAGAAAGAAAGAAAGAAAGAAAGAAAGAAAGAAAGAAAGAAAGAAAGAAAGAAAGAAAGAAAGAAAGAAAGAAAGAAAGAAAAGAAAGAAAGAAAGAAAGAAAGAAAGAAAAGAAAGAAAGAAAGAAAGAAAGAAAGAAAGAAGAAGAAGAAAGAAAGAAGAAAGAAAGAAAGAAAGAAAGAAAGAAGGCAGAAAGAAAAGAAAGAAGGAAGGCAGGCAGGCAGGCAGGCAGGCAGGCAGGCAGGCAGGCAGGCAGGAGCAAGCAAGCAAGCAAGCAAGAAAGAAGAATCATGCAGAAAATTTCATGACTTGAATGGGTTCTCACCTTCCTTCCTTGAGCCGGAATTTTTCTTTCTTTCTTTCTTTCTTTCTTTCTTTCTTTCTTTCTTTCTTTCTTTCTTTCTTTCTTTCTTTCTTTCTTTCTTTCTTTCTTTCTTTCTTTCTTTCTTTCTTTCTTTCTTTCTTTCTTTCTTTCTTTCTTTCTTTCTTTCTTTCTTTCTTTCTTTCTTTCTTTCTTTCTTTCTTTCTTTCTTTCTCTTGCCTTGTAGCCTTCTGTTCTCCTGTAGTACGATTTAGCTACTGGCTGATTTTGTTCCATTCTGATGAGATGACCAGACCATTTAATCCTTTGAAGTTCACTGAAATCATTTATCAGTACTGTGCCTATCATTGTTCTTAGTTCTTTGATGGTTACTCTGTTCCTTCTTGTTATTCAGCGTGATTTTAGTGTTATAATGATTGTTTCTCACATGCTGTGTTTTTTCCTTGGCCAGTCCACTATCCTGAGTAACGCTGAAGAAGGTCAGAAACTGGAGGAGCAGATTTTAGCAGTCATAAACATCACCATTGATGGTATGTAGGATACTGAACACTTGATAAGTCTTAAACATTAATCTGAGATTCAAACCTAAATATGTCTAATCTGTTATCAGAAATTGTGCTGTTTGTCCCTTTTTACCCAGAGAAAACCCATATTTCCATTACAAATCCCTGTAGGATGATATACCAGCTGTATAGCATTGACATATCTCCAGTATGTAAGTAAGTAAACTTTACCCCACCAGGACATCACACAAAGCGATAAATACCCGGTGACACAAAGTGCCACCCTGCAGATGAGGATCACCCGTGGAGAGGTCTCAAAAACCCCATTCAGCCGTTAGGCCATATTTCAGGCCCGGCTATATTTAGGGCACCCGGCAAAAGCCAGAGTGGGTTTAACTATCTTGTCACCCCTTTGAAGGATGCAATTTTTTTGTTATTTAAAGCCCTACTCTGGCTCTTGCCAGGGGCCACAATATAGCTGGGCCATAAATAGGGTATAATGGCTGAACGCGGTTTCTGGGACCTCTCCACGGGAGATCCTCATTGACATGGTGACACCTTGTGTCATCAGGTGTTTATCGCTTGTGTGATGTCCTGGTGGGGTAAAAGAAGAAAGATAGATAACCAGGGTGGGGCTTCAAATAAATATACTGCATCCCACAAGGGGATGATGAACATCTCTCTCCATTATGTCTATATATGGGCTTTATTACTGTTCACAACTGTACCAAGTTAAGATAGATTGGATATGATTAAATATTTTAATAATGTTTATGATCTTTATTGTGAATGCCTTTTTAAAAGTCATTATGACATCATAATGTTCAACTTCATTTGTGCTTGATTGATTATTTTTCTTTATATATTTCTATGCCAGTTAAATAAAGGTTGAAAGTATATGTATACTTTTTTTTTAAATTGTTAATTCTTTCAGTTCCTAGGAATGCATCATATATTCATAGATTCCTACCTAGAAGCCCAATGAATGCAAGATGCACTGATTATATGTTTCTCTGTACTAGCTTTTGGGTCTCTGATGCTTAACCTCCAGGGACTGGAAGAGTTAATGACCAGGGTCAAAGGGTAATATTTTGATAATATATTTCTTAGGAATTCCAGATCATGGCATTTTTCCCCCATGACTCCAGGGCGAAAAGTTAAGATATGCTATAGTATGAATTTCTTTCAGTGACATAAAATTAACCTTTAACATTTAAATTAGTCAGATTGCAATACGCTGAGCAGAAATTATGACGTCTTCTTCTCCTTCTTCTGCATTAACTTTTAAAAAAATGGTTAACATGTAATGTTGTAGTTTACAGTTAGACGGCTATATCTGTACCAAATGATGACTCAGAAAACACATTAGGATTTCTTTTCATAATTTATACACTTTCTTAGAAAGGTTTGTAAAATAATCTGTAAACATGAGTCAGTAGTTCTTGAGTGATGAGTTGTCTTTAAAAAAAAGGTGCATGAAATTAAGTCAATATTGCATGTGTGATGAGTTTTATGTACAACAGTATGTGGAATTTGATAACTACTGCTAAAGTGATGAGTGGTTTGTAAATTTAACCTATGTTTGATATAGGGTAATAATTGCACGTGTGCACAGAATCTGGAAAACATCACGGGAAAGACTCACATTCCATGCACCAACAGATAAGTAAATCAACAGGGAAGAAGAGATGTAAAATTAGTGAATGTTTTAAAATCCAAAAAAGGTGTAAATATTAATAGAGCAAAGTGACATAATTAAAACATGGACAGAGTACTTAGGAGATCTGTATGATGATGATAAGCCAGAAGTATTTTTGCAGGACATTAGTGAAAGGCCCACCAATACTGGCTTCAGAAGTTTAGGATGTATTGCATCACATGAAGAAAGGAAAGGCACACGGGCCAGACAACATCACATTAGAAGAAATTGAAGTTTTAGGAAAATTTGGAATTGGAATAATAACAAAATTATTAAATGACATTTATAATAGTGGGTACATTCCTAATGACCTCTTAAAATCTATATTTATTGCTCTGCCAAAAGACCAGGCATTTTGAAATGTGAAGACTATCGTAACATAAGTCTTATGAGTCATGTGACAAAAAATGTTACTGAGAATAATTTTTAGAAGAATAAGAAACAAGATGAAATCAGAAATGAGTGAAGAACAGTAAGGATTTGTTTGCCCACATAGAGAGAATGCCTTGTGACACCATACTATACAAAGCATACATGGAAAGAGAAGAAGGACATAGAGCATGAGGTAGACCAAGAACAAGATGGAAGGATAACATCAGAAAAACTCTACAACAGCACAATGTGCCTATGGTCGAGGCGACCAGAAGAGCTAGAAACAGAACCTTATATCTCCCTCGACACCCACAGCGGTAAAAGAGGAAGTGAAGAAGAAGAAGAAGTTAGGATTTGAAGAAGAAAATAGTACAAACAATGCCATATACATCCTCAGGACTTTTTCGGAAAAAGCTATTGAAGTAAAAAATTATCTTTACTTGTGCTTCATTGACCATACAAAAGCATTTGATTGGGTGAAACATTAAGAAATAATCTAAATTATTGGAAAAGTTAAACATTGATGGAAAAGATTTCTGAATTATAAAGAAAATGGATTGTAGGAAGGCATGATCGCTCATGCCAGTCTGCAATGCACTTGATGATGACGATTGCATGTGTGATGTTTTATGTAGAACAGTATATGGAATTGGATAACCAATGCTGAATGATGAGTGGTTTGTAACACATGTGTGAAATAGGTTTATTATTGCATGTATGATGAGATCTGTAAAATGATATGGAAACCAAAGTAACTTGTACAGTTCAAAGTTAAAAAGATAGGGAGGACATGGGGAGAGCTGCCTGCGATAGCGATGGATAGAATGACTTGACATGAGTTGATTTAGAGCCTATGCTTCACTCGGGGCTAGAAGACAGAAGAAGAAATGTTATAACTAATAAAGGTGTGATGACTTGTCTATAAAACAGTTTAGGCAACAGAGTATTCTACACAGATGTAAATAACTTATCTGTAAAACGGTTTATGAAATGAAGTAATGTGTGCAGATGTGATAACTTGTCTATAAAAAGTTTATGAAATGTATTAATCTGTGCAGATGTGATGACTTGGTCTATAAAACAGTATATTGAATGAAATAATCTGTGCAGATGTGATAACTTCTCTATAAAGCAGTTTATAAAATGAAATTGAGTAATTTGTACAGATATGATAAGTTCTCTTTAAAACTGTATGTGATGTGGGGTAATTAGAGCTAGTATGGTCTTCTTCTTTCTTTCTTCTTTTGTCCTAATGTTTATGCTGCAAAGCATTACAGGGAGGAGTTAGATGTAGTTTCCTAGTTTTTTTTAAAAACTATTTGCATAGTTTGCGTTAATGTCTTATTGCCTTGCTGGCTGATTAGGTTCCATTCTGATTAGATGACCTATCTGTTTGATTGTTATTTTCCTACCATATTTCCGAGTTCTTCATTGGTGACATTGTTTCTTCTTGATTTTCCCACCCCATGTCTTGGTAATCTTGGTAATCTTAGTTTCAAGCTTCATAGCAAATGAATCACCCCATAGTTGCTCCGCTCCTGTGCCAACGAAAAACACACAGAATGTTCATCGCAGTTACTTGTGGAAAGATTGACAGACTGCTGTCTCAGCATATGCATTAGCATACACATGCATTAAAAGCATACGGTAGCCATCAGAAGTGCTAACACAAACAGTTTGACATTAGAAATGCAGTTCATCATCAACGGTAGCAGAATTCGCCAACAGATCAGCAGTTGCGCACACGATCAATATTAATCACATGAGGGCATCATCAATATTGAGGCGTCAGGCCATGCACCATTTTCTGAAACTACAGTTCACAACACCACGTTGGTCACAGTTGAAAAACATTCCAAATGAAATGCGCAGCTCACAGGGTTGGGCTATGCACTCAACTCAGTAGCTGGCACGACAAAACTGTATCCTTTCAGTCTACAAATGGATCAAAAATGCAACGGCCACCGTCTGCAGAAGCAAAAAACTTGCCTCGACGCGAAACAGTAACCGCGCCTGGCATCCATTTTGACCGGAAGAATTGAGGTGTGTCTTATACATCTCATCTCACATGTTGTGATTTCTTTTACATTTGTTTCATTACTGGTGTGGTAAGTTGTCTGAAAAGAAATTATGGGACCTGGCTTAGTAATTGCATGTGTAAGGAGCTGCCTGTCATGCATTAACTTTCTGTATATGTGATTTACTTTGTTTTCATTGTTGCCTTCACTGGGTGCTGCATAGACCTTCTAGGATATAACAATTTTAGTTTCTGGAGGAAAGTACCATATTGTGTAGTGATGGCATTTGTGACGCATTTCAGAATCATCATTTTCTTTGCCTGATTTTACATTGTTCAGAGTATGAGAAATTTCTGGAAACTGACAGTTTTTGTTGGCCAGAGAAAGACTTCATCAATAATGTAACAACTGCTGATTTGAGCCTTGAGGATCTGGATGAGACCAACCAAAAGGTATAATTTTTGGTAATGCATTGACAGTTTGTGGTCTAAGTATGAACCAAACAAAAACATAGAAAAGCTAGGGTCACATATCTGATCTTTGATATTCTTAGCCTTTTTTTTTAAATAAATTGAAAGAAAGTAGTTCAAGTTGAGCAAGAGATACATAGTGTTACAGGCTGGTATATAGGATAATAGCACCAGAAAGGCTAACCCTGTCAACAAATGCCTGCAGAAGTTGGATGTGTCGGCTGAAAGGCACAAATATGGCAGCCATGCTATAAACGGGCACAACACAATTACATCTTCTGATGAATGCAGAAGAAGAAGAAGAATCATACCATGAATAAACATCAGTCTATTAGTACACACCAGCAAAGAATGCTGTTACTGCTGTGACTCAAAGCATTACATCCTGAATGCCAATTCAAAAAGGCAAATCCCTGATACCCTGTTCAGCCTCCAGAGAAGTCAGAGGTAGTACAACTGCAACAGTGC